TTTAAAACATTTTGTAATTCCCATTTTAATTCCTTCTTTAATCAATGACTTATTCAAAGTATGTTCTTTAATGTCCCAAACTGTGGCATTTTGTGGAGGGAATGTGAATTCATTTTTCTTTGTTATTTATTATCAGTTTAGAGTTCTGGCTTGTTTGTTTTAATTCTTACCAAAGAAAGATACATAGATAAAAGGAACAGAAAGAACCCAGAAGGTTAGGACACTTTCAACAAGTCTATAGTGGTCCCTGAGCACCCCCCTCCAGACTCTGGGTTCAATGGCCTGGTGTCAGCCTCTCTCAATTCTTTCATCTGTTTCTTGTCTGATTTTTCTCCACATTTTAAAATTACGTGCTCTTGCTTTTTTTAAAACCAGTTTTAGACATTATGGGCTATCACTGGGGGAGCTCTCACCAGCATCCTTTGCTCCCAGTCTACTTTCTTTTCTTTCATCTTCCCAAGTGAGCTATTTCATAATTTTTGGTTACTGTTGTTTGCACTACTTTAATTATGTAAATACTGTTCACTGTTGATCCAAGTAGTGAACTCTGTTTAGATTTTTTTCTTTGTTTTTCCTGGAGTTAATATTTGCCTTTATGTTTTCACGTGCTGAGCTTTCTCTGTGGCTATAGCTAATCCCTCCTACATCTTCTGACAGGCACTCCATACAGTTTTTGATCTAGTTGAATGCATCCTTTTTTTTTTTTTAAGATTTTATTTACTTATTTGACAGAGAGAGACACAGTGAGAGAGTAAACACAAGCAGGGGGCGTGGGAGAGGGAGAAGCAGGCTTCCCGCAGAGCAGGGAGCCCGATGCGGGGCTCGATCCCAGGACCCTGGGATCATGACCTGAGCCGAAGGCAGACGCTTAACGACTGAGCCACCCAGGCGCCCCTAGTTGAATGCATCCTATCTTCCATTGGTTCTGTGTTTTCCTGGCACTCTCTTTCCAGTCCAGGCTGGTTGCTCCCTGGACTCTGCCTCCAGGCTGGTGAGCAGAGTCTTGAAGTCCCCTTCATAGAGTGGACAGCCGCTTCTTCTTTTTTTTTTTAAAGATTTTATTTATTCATTTGAGACACAGAGATACAGACAGAGAGAGAGAGCATGAGCAAGGAGAGAGGCAGAGGGAGAGGGAGAAGCAGGCTCCCTGCTGAGCCAGGAGACCAATGTGGGGCTCGAACCCAGGACCCTGGGATCATGACCTGAGCCGAAGGCAGACGCTTAACCATCTGAACCACCTAGGCGCCCTGGACAGCTGATTCTTAACTTGTGTTGTCATGCCTGGTTCCAACTCCCATTTTAGGAAGGGCCTGTGACCTCAATTCTGTCCCGCGCTGGCCTAAACTCTCAGCCCACAGTGGGTGTAAGGCCAGCTCCAAGCCTCATGTAGGCTGCTTGGTCTCCACTCTACTTGCCACTGTGGTTCATGTTTCCGGCTCTGCAGAGCTTCCTTTCCTGTGCATTTTCACGGAACATTTAAAGAGCATGCCTATATTCTCTGACATACTTTTGTGTTGCACTGGGAAGGGGTCCAGCTCCTCTGCCCTCTTGGTTGAAGTTGCAGCATATGCTCTTGGTGTCCTGCTAGTGTCCCCTCAGGCCTCACTCCACAAGCACAATGGTAAGACTTTTAGCTGCCTCAGGCTAGAGCCTGCTCCACTGGGCAGCTCAAGCTAAGCAGGGCCGAAGAGAGAATTTAAGCTTCCTTCCCATAACGTTCTTAAAATATATTTTGTATTTTCTAGCCATCTCAAACTTACATAAAAGTTGTAAGACTAGTACAGGAACCCCCCCCCCCCCACCCCGCCGCCAACCTCCCGCAACCCTGAAGCATTTGCAGTGGCTGACCTGGTGCTCTATCATACACCAAAACAAGGATGTTCTTTGACATAACCATAGCATCTCATCCAAAGCAGGGTCACTGCCATCTAGTCTTAGACCACATCCAAGACTTTCTGGTTGTCCCAATAATGTCCTTTGTAGTAACAAGATCCAGCCCAGGGCCACATGTCACACTGAGTCATCATCTTTTTAGTCTCCAAAGGTCCAGGACATTCCTTGGCCTTTCCCTGACTGCTGAGACCCTGACACCTTTAAAGGTTCTGGGCCCATCCTTCTGTATAGTCCCTCCACGTGGGTGTCTGAGCTTCCATCCTGATCAGAAGCTATGCTTCTTTGGCAGGAGAATCACAGAAGTGATGTGTGCTCTGCCCATCCCACCCTGTCAGCGGTGCAGGACTGCGGTTGATCTGAGTGATGGTGTCCACTTAGGTTGCTTGGTTACAGTGGTGTTCACCAGCATCTCCCCTGGGAACTCGCTCTTCTTCCCCTTGTGGGGGAACTTGAAAACTAGGCAAATAGCCTATTTCTCATCAAACTTTCAACTTACAAATACATTTATTTTAATAAGTATCTGAATATGCATGGACTTGTGGTTTCCTATTTTATTCCATGATTACAGCTCATGCCTATAATTATGACCTCTGATTTGCCAGTGGGGGGGCCCCTTCGAGCTGGCACACGTCCTTCTGATATGTCTCTGTTATGCTCTGAGCCCTTCAGGACTTCTGGACATAGGAAGGCGTTCCAGGATTGTCCTGCACTCTCCCTGCCTGAGCCCCGAGACCAACCATCTTGCCAAAGAACTCTGGTTCCTGCTAGTGGGGGATGGAATTTAGAAACCAGGATGCAGGTTCTCTGTGTGCTCACTGCAGCTGGGGTGTCACTTCTCTCAGGCCCTCTCACTAGACAGAGCAAGGAACTATACAGATGTTTGTACAAACACATTTACATCTATAGTTTTTCTCTTTGTTTATAAATATTGAAACTTGTGGGTTCACACTGGTATTGCTAATTCCAATTCAATATGCACAATTTGTTCATCCCTCTCCACATCTTTAATTTCCATCTCTAATGGTAAGAAAACTGACTCCTGTGACCCCTCAAACCTCCACAGGACCCGAATGATCTTGCTTCTTTACTAGCAGATGCGTCAATCCTTTGCCAGTCTTTCCACAGGAGATGGAAGTCATGTGGGTAGAACTTGCTCTCCCCCCTTGTTGGTGCCAGTGCTTGGCTCTGTGCCTGCAGGGGTACGAGCTCCACAAATGTGAACACGCATGAGCTGCTGCCCACAACCATCAGCCAGAGAGTGGGGGGTGGGGTGGATGATGGCACACAGGTGTAGTGGGACCCTGCCCCTGCCCCTGCCCCTGCCCTCTGATGTGGCTGTGCCTGTGGCCTGGACCTTCTTCCTGCCAGCCTGGTGCCTGGCCAGCGGCAGGGGGACAAGCAGAGGAGCGAGCCACCCCACTGTCCATCTGCAGGGGTGGGTTGGAGGTTGGAGGGAGGAAGGACAGCAGGGTTGAGACCCCCCACTGGGCCAGGGAGAAGACAGGGGGCCTGGTTGGCTCTGTCTAGGCATGGCTAGCCTGGCCCTTGGTGGGTGAGGGGGGCTCAACTGCTCCAGAGACTCCAACATCTTTTGGGGAGGAGGCCTCAAAGTCCACTGAGAAGGAGAAGTTTTAAAGGCAATCCAGTCCCTTCCTGCTTCTCAGGGCCCTTCACTGCTCACCTGTCCCCTACCACATGCCCCCTGCAGCTCTGGAAAAATGTTGCCCCCTCCCCCTCCCTGGGACCCTTCTCCAGAGCCCTGCAAAGCCAGAGGATGTAGAGGGAAGCGGCCCATTGGATCCAGGCACCGCCCATCAAGGGGACCACGGCTTCGGGCCCCTGTGGGAGTGCCTGCTTAGCCAACAGAGCAGGAGAAATTCTGTGCTTGGCCGAAAACCCTTCCCAGCCAGCCCTCTGGTGCTCCAACCACCTCCTTTGGATCACAGGTTGCCCGCGCTGTATGGAATTCAAGTCCACATAGAAGGAACTAACCCTCTCAGGGCACATTATAAATAAACTTTTTTGGTCCAACTGTGGGCCAAGAGAATGATATCCCAAAACAAGGAAGAAGTCCCTTTTCTTTGTTTTTTAAGTACCCCTTCTGAGTTTTATGTTTGCACACAGAGGGAAGCCTCCTGTCGGGGCTGCTGTTCCTGGGGGGATCAGAGAGAAGAGTGGAAGGGACAGCCCTAGGACACAGGCGAGCAGAGAGCAAGGTTCGTGCCCATGGAAGGGAGCCGTTGGGTTTTCAGACACGGAGCACTGCACCCTGAATCTCAAGCCCATCCTGGGTGTCTCCCTGTGCCTGCAGTCATGCAGGGGGTGGGGTTGCTGCCCATCCTCACTGCCTCTCCTCAGGGGCAACATGGGCCTGTAGAGATGCCTGGTCAGCCCCCCAGGGCAGGCGCCACCCCCTAGGAGCTCTGGACTGGGGCCACGTTCAGCCTCCATGGGAGGCCTCAGCTAAGACGCCGCCTCATCTGGGGGCTACCTAGCCAGTCCAACTTTGAGCCCCTGGTCTTCTCCCACCCTGCACTTTCTGGCTTCTCTCTTCCCCAGGAGCAGCCAGTTCCTGGAAGGACACACAGCCCGATGTCTCCCCAGCTCTGCCCCAGACGCCCTCCCGACGTGTAAGTGGCTCTCCCGCCAGGGTGGGGGGCTGCAGCATAAGGGTCAGGCCACCTTCCCAAGCAGGAAGGGGCCAGGTTCCCGAGGACTCCCCCAGGCTTGGCCCTGGCCATGACCTGGCCCGTGGGCACAGCGCACAGTTCCCCAGACGGGGGTTGTCTCTCTCAGGCACAAAGGCCCTGCCCCGTGGAGCTGGCAGTCCCGCACTGGGGCTGGTGGCCCTGCTGGCCGCGTGCGGCGACCGGGGTGCAGGGTCACGGGGTGGTCGGGGCAGCTCGGTCCATTAGGGGGTGGGGGGCCGTTGTGCCGCCCCTGCACGTGTAGGGGCCCTGGGACACGATGCATTGTGTGTGTGCCTGTGCGGGGTCCCCTCGGCTGGGGCAGTCCTAACGTGTAGTGAGTGACCCACTTGGCGTCCCCGTCATTCTATGGAACCCGGGTCGTGCTATGTGGCGTCCCTGTCGTGTGTGGGGTTCCCCATGGTCGCGTGGCGTCCGCGTCCTGCCGGGTCCGCGAGGTGTACGGTGCAGGCTGCGCAAGCCCCCGTCCTGCCCGCCCCTCCGCAAGTCTGCGGTTGTGGCGGGGGCCGCGTGTGGGTTTCTGGGCCCCGGCGGTGGTGGTGGCGGCGGCGGCGGCGGAACGGGCGCCTTCCCAGCCGCGCAGGAAGCGGCCTCGGCCGGAAAGGGGGCCCCGGGCGCCGCCGCTGCCCCTGCCGAGCGCCCTTCCGGCGGGCGGGCGGAGCGGAGCCGAGCGGAGCCGAGAGGGGCCGAGTCCGGGGCGGGCGGGGCCGAGCGGAGCCGAGTCGCGGCCGAGCGGAGCCGAGTTCCTGGCGGACGGGCCCGAGCGTGGCCGAGCCGGCCCGAGCCCCGGGCTGGGCGGTGGCGGAGGAGGGGGGGGAGCGCGCGTTCTTGGAAGAGCCAGGCCGGGAGGCGGTCGCATTCCTGGCCGGCGTTCGGCTGAGGCGGACGCGCGGCTCCAGACGGCGCGAGAGGCGGGGCGGCGGCGCGGGGCGGGGCGGCGCGGGGCGGGGCGGCGGCGTGAGCTCAGCGCTCGGCGCTCAGTCCGAGCCGGAGCGAGCCGCCGGGAGGATGTG